AATGCTCTGCCACGCGCCGCGCTGCTGCGAAGCGCGCCGCGGTCGCGCCGTGGGAAGGGGCCCTAACGGGAGGCGCGTGGCCGCCGCCGGCGTGCGCAGATAACGTGGGCCTGCAGCTGGCGGAGGGGCAGCCGCTGTTCCGCTCCGACGTGATCGAGTACCTGGACCTGTCCGGGTGCGGGCTGCGCGCGCTGCCCGAGGCGGCCTTCCGCGAGCTGCCGCGCCTGCAGCTCCTGCAGCTGGAGCGCAACTGCTTCAAGGCGGTGCCGGCGCCGGCGCTGGCGCTCGTCGCCGACCTGTGGAGCGTGGCGCTGAGCGAGAACGCCATCGAGAGCCTGAGCGCCGACGACGCCTCGCTGCTGGCGCGCTTGCCCGAGGCGCTCTTCTTCGTCAACCCGTGGCGCTGCGACTGCGCGCTCAGCGACGCGCTCCAGGCGCTGCAGGGCGACGAGCGCGCCTTCTGGAACCAGGTGACGCACTCGCCAGCCGTTCACTTCATTGCTGTATTCAATTCGATACTTTATTTTACGTGGCGGGACTCAGGCTGCCCGGCCTGCTTTTCAGTCTGATTTCGCTAAACGATTCCTAGAAGATACACAGAATAGGGGAGATAAAACCCGCTAATAAATTCTTCATTCTTCTCAGTGTTCACATGTAATTAGATTATTCAGTAATAGATAATATAACTCTCAATAACCGCTCATTGTTGTTGGTCGCTGAGATTTGTGGTGTCGAGTTCCACGCGCTGCAGGGCAATGAGCGTGGCTTCTGGAAGGGTGGCGCACTCCCCAGCGCGCACCAATGCATTCAATTCATTTCAATTTAATTCAGTGATGGTTTATTTTACGTGGTGAGACCCCTGACTGCCCGGCCTGCTTTTCCGTCTGACTGCGCAAATTTCGCTAAACGATTCCTAGAAGACATACAGAATTAGGGAGATAAAACCCGCTGATAAATTCTTTATTCTACCAGTGTTCACATGCAATTAAATTATTCAGCAACAGATAATATAACCCGCAAGAACCTCTCTTCATTGTTGGTCACTGAGATTTGTCGAGTCGCGTTCCACGCGCTGCAGGGCAATGAGCGTGGCTTCAGGAAGGGTGGCGCACTCCCCAGCGCGCACCAATGCATTCAATTTATTTCAATTCAATTCAATTCCGTGATGGTTTATTTTACGTGACGAGACTCAAACTGCCCGACCTACTCTTCCGTCTGACTTGGCATATTTCGCTATACGATTCCTACACGACGCAGAGAGACATAGACAATTGGACAGGCAATTGACGATGATAAATTTGTCAGTCTTCGCGGTGTTCACATACCAAGAGATTATTCAGCGATAGGTAATACAACTCGCAAGAACCGCTCTTCATTGTTGGTCACCAATACGTGACCTTCCAAGAGTCGGGTCGAAATCTGTCCTGATTTTTGTTTCTTTTTAGAGATAATGATATAAGAGAAAGTAAAAATAAAAATGTGGTCAGTATTGGCCGCTCTGTTTTCCCTAACGTCATAGCCAACCCTTGCTGCCGTGTGACTGCGAATGACTCACGTTTGCGCTGCTTTTGCTCGGTAGGATATCTACTTACCGGTTATGTCTGACAATTTGCTGGGTGTAAACCAGTAGTTCATTTCGGGGAACAATGTAACCCGGAATAAATAAATCTGTGGATTTATTTGGTTTATCCGTCTGTTAATTACTGGGGTCTGTTACTTCGTGTATTATCGACAATCGATAATATTACGAGTTTATTAAACGTCTAATTAAATCAATTATATTGAGGCCAATGAATATATAAATCAATTAAAATTTACGACTATATGGTTCGAGTATTGCAATTCACTTTAATTTTTAAAATTTCTAATGCTATATTTAGATGTAATTTAAAAAATATCGCCATCGCGGCACAAATCGGTATGACGGCTTATCGGAGTGTACAAACGCTTTCGACAGAACCCATGTACATTGAAATGTCTGTGAAAAATTAATGATAACGCAATAAAACGCAAATTTCACACGATTTCTGAGAGAGAGAGAGAGAGAGAGAGAGAGAGAGAGAGGGAGAGAGAGACAGAGAGGGAGAGAGAGACAGAGAGGGAGAGAGAGACAGAGAGAGGCAGAGACAGAGAAAGACATTGTGACGACACATGGAAACAACAAACGTTTTTTTCCAATAAGGAACCCGCTACTTTATTCAACATAATCGGTTATGAAACTCTCGCCTGCAAGTACAAAGAGTTAGTAGTCTGCGGATCTCCTCTTTATCTACACTGTAACGCCGCTTGATCTCCTTAACCTTGCAAACATTGTATCTGCTAATCTTTGAACTTCTTGCTGTGCCGCCTTTCAGACTACTAACTCAATTTTCCCACTAGACGAAAAGCTCTATTGAATCCATAATTTAATTTCAGCATTAAATTGCGCGTGAACGCCACGGTCGGAGAAAAACCTTTCTCAGAGTATAAGATGATTAGCGCACACTCGATGATTAGCGTGATCTCTCGAAGATTAGAGCACCTCACCGGGAGATGTGGGACAGATGATGTCTCTGCAATGCCTCTGACCGGAAGGTCCTAGGTTCGATTCCCGACTGTCGCGCGATCTTTATTTCCTCTTCCTTGCTCTATCCTCCCTTCTTACATACACCCATGCACTAAATTACCACACACGCCAGGAGACCGGTTGGAGGTTTAGGTTGGAGCGGTGCCTCATTGGCGGGAGATACCTGGTGAGGAAAACCCCCGCTAACAGACGGATATGTAGGTGCCAGATCTCTTCCTGCACCGGGGGCTCATCTCGAGGAGAAAACATGCTCTGTACTTACGGGACTAGTGACTTTAGCCGTGAATGTGTCCGGAATCACCAATCAATCAATCAATCTATTCATCTCTATTACAAACTGTACGTCACAAATCAAATAGATCTTCATTTCTGAAGCGATCCATATATAATGACAAAGCAATCAAGAGTCAAGAGTTTCACCTAGTAGCACATTATTTATAATGACCTTCAAACAGAATATGCCACGACACATGCCCCTCAAACACCATCAATTTTTTAAAACCCAATTATGTTTGAGGTTATAGAAGTAAAATTCACAGCAATGGATAATGAAGCGCTTCTTATGAACTCTAAATCTAATTAGGAACCCTGAATCTAATTAAGAACTCTCAATTCTAATTGCATATTAAAGCTAACTGATAGGAAAAATACATTCCTAGAGGATAACAAAATGACCAATTTCAAAGATAAAAGTTTAAACATAAACAGCACAAGTTTCCATTTCTCCTTTGCTCGACAACTTGCACCACGGCGCGGAGACCGAACAAGAGAATAGAGACTTCACATGCGTGCCTCATGATAGGAAGCAAACAATCCACAAACTGTGTGCAAAACAGTTAACTTTGAAGTGTTTACTTCACATTACGATCCACAAAGGGTTCATTTACGTACATTAAAAAATTGTATTTCGGCCACAGAAGTGGATCTGAGAAACCATAGTGAATCGGCTCAAAACATTTTCGTCCTTCACTAACGAATACGTCACATGTACAGCTTTTCTGAAACAATTTCTTAAACAGATCTAATTTCTTCATGCACGTGTCTGTGGTACAATGATTCACAAACTTTCTAGCGACATCTCACGATAAATAGTTTGAGTCGAGTTTTTCTCCTGGCGTTATATTCATCCCAGACACGTTTCTGCCCATAGAAGAGTAATTGCACATTGCACGATAACCCACGTGCTATCAATATTCGATAACATGAATTCGATAACAAGGAAGAAAGTAGAAAATAACTCCATTACCTACACAGTAACACAGTTGTTATTCCTATCTCACTTATCATGTTGACATTTTCATGACAAACCTTACTTTTACATCCTATCCAAATAAAACTCACATTGCTTTAGATTGCAAAACGTACAAAGGCAAATTGAATTACATCAGGGAAACGTGTTGAATTTAAGCACAAAATAAAATTATATAATTAATTGCGATTTAATTTACGGCCTACCTTGAACGTCACTTGCGTACAAGGAACGCTGGAATATTTTTGAACTCTCGGAAGATATCAGTAGACATACTGTTTGTATACAGCGGGATCACGCAAATTCGAGATCAAAACAGCACAAAAACGGCCACATTTTTTGTGAGTAGTAAGTAGGTAGTGTTATTACCGCTAGTATTATTTCCACGAACCTTCCTCGAAGAGACACTTTGAACCATAGATCTACACCGCGGAAACGGCCATTTCCGCTTCCGGAAAACTAAGATCTTAGAGTCGCTACAAATGTAAATCAACTTCGTGTTTACATGTTATAACTTACAGATTTTTCTGTATGTGTATGAATGCTCCTCTGCGAGAATAGTGTTAGTCATCGCAAGTTTTCACCAAACAATTCAGGATACAGGAACTGATTAGCTGGAATTATCAGCTTTTTTGAAACAAGTCCGGGAGACTGCGTGCTAGACATAGTGGCCAACGTCTCGTCCATCACACTGCGACCTCCCTCAGGGAGGAATATCCAAGGAAGGTCGCACTATCACGGACAAAGTGTGTAGACTCCGGCGACGGAAGCCAACCCTTTCATAAGCTTTTAAACATTGTTTTTACTTTCTGGAATACTACATACGTAGTATAGAGCAATTATGTAATGCTGCTGCAAAACGACGATTTTTCCACGGAAAAATCCCGTATTACGGGGTCCTGATACAGTAAAAGTGGACATTCAATATGCAGTATATTACTTTCTCTATAACGTTATATAGTCAGAATCCACAGTATCACGTTATGTAGTTAGAATTTGGCGGACTTTGATGCCGAAAATTTCGTTTACGGCAAAAATGTTATCCGTCCGTCTGTAAACTATGATACTAGATAAAACGTAGGCAGGATGTTCACCAAAATTGATATTCCATGATCGGCCTGGCCGACGACGCAGCCATTTAAACCGGATATTTTAATTTCGTGGGAATTTTACATGAAGCTTCGACCAGCTGCTTTTCTACCAAAAAGAGGTGTCCAAACAGGCTGTGGAACCTATCTGATATGTTCGCTTCTTTCGCATCAGTCAGGACGTAAGTGTCATGCATTGTTTGGAAGCGTTGTTCGCGTGAGTCTTGGTCGCAGTCGGTTTCTTTTTGCCGGTGAAGAAGACATCCAACTTCCCTTTTTACGTTCAATATCTGCTAAAATACCATGCTTTATTATTACATTGGTCTGTCCGTTACATTCTGCTCTGTCATGTGTAACTCAGAATGCTTTCAGCTATATTCAGGGTAAATACGATATGGGTAAATCGTATGTGTATCGGGGGAACGATTCATTTTTACGTCACTTTCCTCGGAGGTGACTGCAAAACAAAAACCTAGATGCTGGTTTGGGACTGCCCCGTTTTTTTTATTTTTTTTATTTTACCAGTGCCCTCCATATCTGGTTCCTCTATCCGCCACTTGGAGAAGGCTCCCGGTAAAGAACTCCACGGGTTGGTGTTGTTTTTGCTATTATTATTATTGTTATTATTATTATTATTATATTGCGACCGCGAATTTCTGGTCCCTGGATCCGGTCAGAAGGCGCCTGGAACCGCTGACCTGTTGATTGCCGTCCTTCAAAGATTTTCCTGCTGCGGCCCCAGAGCGATCGCCTCTTGTCCGGACAGCCCCGTCTGCAGTGGTAGATCCACTCATGGATTCCAGGATATGAAATAAGCACATTTATTCTCCACAACAGCGCGTTGTCCGCAAAGCGCGCACAGGCCGATCACATAGTCTGAAAGCGACGCCGACGAGGTCAATGCAAAGGCAGTGCAGCCCTCAGCCCTCAGCGTCGGTTGGATGCTTGTCGGCACTGTACACGCGGTTCGCGCTTTCCTTTCTTCTCTGTTACCACCTCAGTCCTCAGTGAGTGCTGGGCTCATGCACTATCGCTTCTTGCAAGTCTGTTCGTTAAATTCGCGAGTTGCCTCGTATTATCACACGATGTCGCGAACTCCCGAGTGTCTATCACTTGGAGCTAATCTCGTCTCGCGTACGTCTCCCCGAGCCTCTAAAATGTTGCCTTTCCTCCAGCGAACCTCTCAAAGCTCCAACACGTCCGACACCTCAGAGTTTCGAAAACCTTCTCCCCATACGTCCAACTCCTCCGAAACCTTCTGTCCGCCTCTCCGCTTTTCATCTCGTCTCGTGTCAGGTTGACTGGTCCTCGTCTCGTGTAGTCAGTGAGATTTGTCGATTTAGTCACGTGCAAGGTGAATCCCAGAAATGGGTTTGTGGACTCCCCGGAATGTCTGCGCCATACTAGTTTCTTTCCTTGATTTTTCCGCTCCTCCTTCACGTCATGCAGGAGGATTCACTACTCCGTCTGCCAATGTCAAGTAGTGAGATCGCACCTGTGCCAATGTGGTGTCGCAAGCGGGGACTTTCTGACCCCGCTCAAAGGTTCTGTGATCAGCCGCACTTCGCTTAAAACGTCGCACTAAAAATTATAAACATTTTTATTTGTGAAACCTGAAAGGTGCAGGGAGAAGCTTTGGATAGAGATCGCATATGAAGTAAACGACAACGCAAATTCTGGTAAAATTAGAATCTATTCAATCCGTAAAATGGATAGCAAAAAATTACATTCTCGTCTATTATATCGCATCAATCTTGTTTCTATTACCTTCCAAAAATCCTTCCGTGATAACCTTTCTAAATAACTGAAATGGGATCCCATTTGCAAATTTCTCTAGTGATACTTTTACTCTTAATGTAACTGCAATTTTATACACTGAATCTCATTAACTTTCTTCAATATCGTATTTGCAAAACGTATCCCCTTTTACTTATAAAGCAGCTTATTAAATTCCTTTCCTAAAAGATCCAAATTCGACTTTACATAAGCTTTCCAATTTAAAACACAAAATTATACGTTGTTAAAAATTTGACTAGTGATTTTTCTTTCTCTTGGTTCATTACTTTGATTTTGAAAGACCTCCTGAATTACAGGTCTCAAGTTTATTTCCTTTTCCGTTGTTTTTACGAACTTGAACGAAATATAATTCCGCTTTACGTGTCTCTTTCGACACCTAGAAACAAAATCTCGCAATACTTAACGTTTCGCAGTCTTCGTATGCTAGCTCTCGTTCGTCAGCGAAGGTCGAGTTGCGTGCACGCCGCTGCGTTCCCGAATGCGTTGCTGCCGCAAGGCAAGGTCAGTGACAGACCCCGGGCCTACGCGAATCCTCTTGCGTCGTGCATCGGCCCGCTTCCCGCGCGGTCTTCGGTCTTCCGTCCTCGCCCGGTCGTCTCATCGCGCCACCCGCCAGATCCTCGTAGCACCGGTTTTACATCACGAGTTTGGCATTCGTGAATTATACTGGATACAGTTCGTGGGCTTATGAATTGATAAATACCGTAATTCACAAGAGTAGCTGTTTTCATCGTCAATTGTTCTATTCTCAGGCGAATAACTGAATATACTGCTACGTCGTTAATATGCGGGCGTTGCCTCAACCCGTTCAGCTCCGTGAAATTATGCTCTTCCTAAATAATCTCGCAGTTACTTTGAGAAACTCTAAAATCATATACTATTGCATAACACGACGTAAATTAAGTTATTTCACCTGTATCACAAGTATTCTTACAGCTCACTTATTTACTGCTCACCAAAAAACTGCTTCTTCTAACAATATAAACGACTGTACGTCGAACAATTGCTTCTACTAATTACTCAGATGTCCACTACTTAACACAGCACACGCCCTATTCTCTCTACGGCCAACATCAGAAAAACCTTCCTGTCCGCTACCAAAATTAGGTCTTTTCAGAATGACCACTGGTCAGTCACTTCCTCTTTTCCTTTCCCCCGTGTGACGCCAGGGATGCCTCCCCTACCTGTCTGGACACTCTATACCACCGCTTTGAACGCGCCTTCATTTGCGCGGTAATTCAAATGGCTTTCATACGTAGTTCTCTCAGGACCTGCACATATCGGTGCCGTCTCAACATAAACACACTTGATTCTGGTATAATTTATCCGACGAACGCGATAAAAACAATTCATGAAAGATTTGAAACAACCTTAAGAAGATGCTTAATAAACATTTCAATTTCCCTTTCTCTTTGCACACTTCTATAATGCCATCACATGTGTAAAACCACTTGTTGCAGTCCATGGCTGATCTGGTTTGTCTGTGGCCCCCCGAGGATCACGGGCAGTCGTGGGAGAAGGTGCTGGCGAGGGACAGCTGCCGAACGTTCGACGATGCCCTGGAGAACGCCACGCACTGGGACGGCGACGGGGACGCGGCGGCGCACGCCCCCTCTTCCTCCACTGAGAGCGGCGCGGAGGCTGGCGCGGGCGCCCCGGCGGCGCACTGCCAGCTACCAGTAAGCACAACCAACGTCTCATTTGGTGGATAAATCGTGTTCGCCTGGCCCCTTGCGGGGTCTCTTCCAACAGTGGGCTTCCAGTGGGTTGATGTTTAGGGCTTTTGGACTCCCCTCCCCCGTACGGGACGGGGATCGGGAGTCTGGGTTGTCGGCGGAAGGGTTAATTTTTCTACGGAGAGAGGGGTTGTTTTTATTAAGGTTGTGGATGACGGGGGAGGAAAGGGGCAGGACCGGGATGGGAGGGGATACGGTGGGGTGGGAGGGAAGAGATGGGCAAGGATTTAGTCAAAGGAGGCGGCGGTGTGTTGTTGTCGACGGCATGCACAGCCAATGCCATTCAACTCAATAATGCCTTACTTTAAGTGTCGGGACACACACCAGATGGCGTCTGTTCTTCCGTCTGACCACGCAAAGTTTGCTACGCTTCTTTCACCACTTAGTGGAGGTGGTGTCACTCGGGTACGAAACAGGCGATCTCAATTTAGCTCGGAGGTTCTTTTAGGATTGAGGATCTTTTACAGACAATCTACAACACGCGATAGTCGGATTTCCTTCCCCTCCGAAGGAAGGAGTACAAAGGATTTATTTGCCCTTAAAAATCGATCGGCTTCTATCCGGATTGAACCCGCACCGAAGCCTTTATATCAGCGACTCCTATGACTAGCCTATTCCACTCTCCTGTACCACCGACTCCTAGGCCCGGCGTCTCCGGCTATTTTCATGTTATTAACATGAATATTATCATGTTAAGTTTTGCTTGGGCTTTACAACTTCATAATAAAAATAAATTTTAAACATTTTACATTTGCTTGTCTCGTTCGGGCTTTTACATTTTCGGGCTTAGAAATATACTTGAAAATGCATCAATTAAAAGAATTTTTAAATTGTTGTTTCATTACAAAATTAAGTTTACATGTTTAGTGAATAAATTTGTTCATCTATTCGTTTAAATTTCGGAAAGACAGTATCGTAATTCAGTATTTCACCATTGTATACACTCGCAGCTGCAGTAAAACCACCAAAAATACGTTTTTCTAAAATTCTTTCAAAATATCCTAGAGGGAAGTTGCTAAGAATTGCTAATCAATGTCTTGAGACGAATCGATTGAGCTATTAATCAGCCCTGTTGATGCCGTAAATCATCCAAAACCTATTTTAGTTGTATTAAAAACACTTTTTAGATAAATTTATTAAAATTATCTAGATAGATCCAGAAAAAATTATCAATTTGCCACTAGGGTACCGACATGTGGCGATCCAAATCTCATTTGTCTCGATTGGTGGACTCGAAGCGCTCTACCCGTCAGTCAGGGACCGATGGACGCAGGTAACTCGATAAGGATGTATGTACATATCAAAGCCATTTAATCAGCATGCAAGAAAAGTGACGTATCTAAAAAATAGTCATTTTCAAAATCACTGTTTTATTTTCAACAGATCCGTTTATTTCGCAACGGTGGTTTATTGTAAACACCAGCTGACTAGTGAACTATCCTTATGAAAGTTTTAATAATAAAATGGCATTACCGCTAACACTACAAACTACCACATACGCCGGGAGACCAGTCGAGAGCCTAGAGCTTGTCCCGGTTGGCGCGGTGACCCGCTGGTGAGAGATATCTTGAAGGGGGAAACCCGCAAGCCGATGGGTAGGTCGGCGGCGAATATCACCATCCAGCGGATCGCCTCCTCCCGCAAAACAACATGTAATACACTTTACGGGACTAATGACCTTAGCAGTTGACGTCCCCGCAATCACTAACCAAGATCAAACTAGGTAAAAATACAGTTTGTGGCACGATTCGTTCACGCGCGCTGTCGATTCCGAGAATGAGTTACTCGCGGGCGACGCGCATTCCCGCGGAAAGTGACACTTCAATGTGCAGTTCTCAGTTGAGGACGAGTCTCGGGCCATCGGCCTTCGCGTTAACATAAAACTTCCTTGAGTGTGTCCAACTCATAATTAACAACGCACTTTATGCAAAACGCATAATTACCGACGTATTTAAAAATCATTTGACGGGTATATTTTCTTAATATATTTTTTTAGGAAAACCGCCGTTTTCTTGCCTTCCGTTTGTCCCGCAAGTTTTCTCCTTCACATGTCCTCGCGCGTGAAAGAATCGTGCCACAAACGCCTTAAGCTGTTGTCGCTTAGCTTTCAGCCTTAAACCGTTGTCGCTGTCAACAGGTGTGCGGCGGTGGCGGGGGCGACGCGTCGCTGTGCAAATGGCTGAGCGGCGGGACGCTGCTGGTGCTGGCGCTGGGGCTGGTGGCGTTCACGGTGGCCGTGTTCACGGACCGCGTCGCCGTCACGCTGTCGGTGGCCGGCGGCGCCCGCCGGCGGGCCGCCTGCGCCCGCTCCGACGCCAGCCTCTCGCGCGCCAACCTCACCGACCCCGCGCTGGAGGACGACGTGGAGGACGGCGGCGCGCGCCCGCAGCCCTGGGACGTGGTGCGCTTCGGGCGCGGCAAGTGAGGGCGCCCCGCCCACACGCCCACGCACAGGCCGACTAGTTGCGATTCGTGCGCGTCCACCAGGGCCGGATTTAATTGCTGCATGGTCCCCTAGTACAAAATTCTGATGGAGACGCGAAAAAACATTTCTCCAGATTTACTAAAAACACACAATGCAATAACTATTTTCACTAATACAAATAACTTATGTTATCGATAATTTTATAGGTACAAACTATTTTATGACTTTTTTTACAATATTTTATTGGTTTTTTTTTCGAGGCACCGACCTCTCATGGATAGTGACCCCTAAACAACGGATTTTTTGCTTGTTTGTAAATCTGGCCCTGGTGTTCAGCACATATCACGATATAGCAAGATTCTCCGACGGTTGCAAAGAGTGTTTTCACATTCACCGATTCCGTTGCCGCCAATATATCTGTACAATATTGATCTGCACAATATCGAATATCGATAACGGTACATACGGCACGGCTCATTTTTGTTGTCGGCCGAGAAAGACGCGAAATGCAGTGTCATAATGCCACTGTGAAGACGGGCCTTGAGACGCAACTATATAAAAATCGCACTAAATTACAGAATTGAAAAGCGTTCTCTTTTATTTACACGAAATGAGGCATCCACCGACATCGCTGTCCTTGTTGGTAAATGTGAAAAAGCTCTAAATAAACCGTAGGCGTCGGAAATCTTATTGTGTTCATATTGCCTTTGCAACTTGTTATCGCAATACAGCCTCAATTATAGCAGTTACCTTATTTTGGCAAAACATTATAATTGAATAGGGCTTAACAAGGGAATTCGTCAGGCGAAGTACACAGAGAAATTTGTTATAACAATGATTTTCTATCAATAACTTCATTTTTTAACAAACGTTTTATTGAAATTTCAATCCTCTTTGACTCCAAGTGAGCTGCTAAATGGGTTAATAACAAAATAAATTAATTTATAGTGCTCAGTAGTGACCACCAAAACAAATAATATTTACATATACAACTGGGAAAAAGGGTGCCCTCTACTTTAACAACGGCCGAAAATGTTTGGTTATAATTTAGAATTTTAGTTTAACAAAAACAAGATTTGTATTTAATATGGTTAAGTAGAATTACGTAGCCAGTATTTTACACAAGTTGATAGGCGTGATGCCTTATCACACCTCTTCAAACATTAATACAAAAATTACAAATCTGTGAACAGAACTGTGAACTTTTATGTGCTCTTCAGTGGCAATATTCCGTACAAATACCAAAGGTTACATTTCGACTGCTAACATTCACTAGACTGTATCTCACATTATTCAATAAAAATACTCCGATAGGCTTTCTATTTTTTTCTTTTTGGGGCCCAATCCCCCTGGGCCCCTTTGCGGGGGTCCAGCCCGCTCGCGTCATCTTTTATGTGATTCACAGGGCGAGTGATTAGCTACTGCAGCCGACCGTAAAGAAAAACAGGCCAGCCACATCTAGAAGTTTGGGATTCGAACTAGCCCTTCGCACGAGCTTGGATTTAACAACTGGAAAAGAGGGGTAAATTAGGATGTTATAACAATCTGCTCTCCCGGGTAGTCGTTTTTATACACTGAGCTAAAAAAGGAATATTGGTGCTGCAGATAGTCGTTGAAAACCAACAAAGCTAGTGCGATTAAAACCAAGGTTATTTAAAAGTCTAACTTCTGTATTATCGATCTCTGACATAAACAGTAAGAAAAATGCAATTTGAAATAATGAATTAGAAATATAAGACATTATTTTGGACTTAATTTAAGTTTTAATAAAAAAATATGTTTGAGAATGTGGCTAATATCTTTTTAAAAATCCTCTTAGCTTGATAAAAATCAGTATCTGAATAAGTATACATTTTCTCCTTCACCTAGTACTTCCAGTCAAATCGGTACATTCCTTGAAACCAAGTTTATACAGAAGAAAGTGCATTTTGGTTCGTAATTTTAACCTTGATCGCAAATTCGTTTTCGTGTAAAAGAACGAGTAAAAAATGTTTCCTAATTGAATAGATTAAAAAAGACCATATTCCAAAGAACGCAAAATAAATCGTTTTTTATAACTAGTACATATTTCAGTTTAACATACGTGAAAAGAAGAATAAAAAGAAGAATACTCCAAAAATGTGAATTATTATTTATTAAGAAAATATACTATCTGAACGTTTCGCTCTTTGATTAGAAAGGCTCTGGGCGTTACGTCAAGTTAATGAAATACTATTTCCTGAATAAGAGTAAAAGAAGAACATTTGATGTTTTACATCTTTCAGAATTCCCATCTTTATTTAGTTTCACAATTGTATGAAGGGATTGTGACATGTAACCCTAAGTCCAACAAATATACATTTAATACACATGAATTCGTTCTCCACTGATCTCAAAATGAACGAAAAACTTAATTAATATGATACATCAAGAAAATGTGAATTTGTATAATGATGTTCAGATACACTTTTATAAATATACTTTGAATACACATCTTCGTATTTATGAAATACTGAACTGTTTTGAGCTGCGTGTTAATTTAGTATGAAAGATCCGCTTTCTCTTTATTAATTTTTTTTTATTTTCTTCTGGCGAAAGTTACATTCACCATCCAACACTACGAACACTAACCCAATATATTTCTTAGTTTATAGGTTCATCGGTACATTCAAACAAACAAAATTTGTTAACCAAACTGAATTGAACATAGATTTGATTTTGACAATGTACGTTTCATAGACCATGAAAATGCGATGTATTTCGAATTCATTTCTAAAAATTTACTTATAAAGTTAAATTACCCGATGAATATACAAGTTGAAAATCAAATATCTACCATTTATGATAATTTATTACACGAAATGAAAAAATTAAAAATGTATTGCAAGGTAGGTAATTTTTCCATCTCGGTATTTAATTTCCTTTCCTTAGCCAAATGTGTCTGACATAGTCTTTTCCGTTATCAGTTTCGCCTTCCCCCGACCCTCCCGCATTTCCTTTAAGACGTGTTATTTGAAAAATGAAAAAAATATATTCTGAGGCGAGTTGTTTTCTACCTGGTAAAGATATAATTTTAATTTGTCTACGTAAGCCTGAAGTTTCGAGGTTACACAATTTGACATTGTTTGTATAGATAGACTGTCGTAAAGACTGTTTTATCAATTATTTGTTTATCTTACACGTAAATGATTTTACTCCGCAATAAAAAAACGCCTCGAAATGTTAACAAACTTTTGAAATTAATATATTTTAATTAATTTTATTTAAACTAAATTGTTTAAATAAAATTAATTAAAATTTATTTAAAATTAAATAATATTAATTAAAATTTATTTAAAATTAAATAATATTAATTAAAATTTATTTAAAATTAAACAAAATTATTTAAACTACATTAGAATCTATATAAGAACAACACCTCTCAGATTAAGAGCAGGCTCTCGGATCCGTTCCCAGTCAGTAAAGGTCTTTGTCAGGGTTGCTGCATAGAGAGATACAACATAGAGGAGAGTATATCTCTACTCTATGGGTTGCTGTCTTTCCCCAACACTGTTTAAAATATATCTGCATTAAATTTTACAGCAGTGGGAGAAACAATGCAGAGTAATGGGCATAACGATCGGAGAGGATAAATTGTATACATTATATTTTGCCGATGACCAGGTAGTAATTGCAGAAGATGCGGACGATTTGACTTTCATGATCCGTGAACTGAATTAACATTTTTTAAAAGCGGGACTTAATATTAACATGATCAAATCTGAATACCTGGCAGTTGGTAACAATGAGATAAAAGATCTTCTGGAAAATGGAGGAAATATGAAAGGAGTAAACAAATATAAATAACTTGGTGTACTTTTTTACAATAAGGGAAATAGCCAAGAAGAAATTGAGAGACGAATAGGCTTGGGGAGAAACGTGACACGAAGTATAAACTCTGTCTTATGGAACAAAACCATCACTAACACTACGAAAAGACATCTTTACTCCTCACAAGTTAAGAGTGATACAACATACGATTCAAAAGTTTGGGAGATTGATAAAAGAACGAAAGGGTATCTGCTGGCCCTTGATATGGACTTCTGGCGTAGAAGTTGCTGTTATAGCAGACGTGACCGAATCAGGAACGACGACATAAGAAAGAAAATGGATGTAAAGAAATCTGTCCTTGACGAAATAGAGCAAAACCAAATCGTATGGTACGGTCATGTTAAGCGAATGACAGATGACAGGTGGCCAAAACGAGTCCTGCAATGGGTGCCGACAGAAAGACAGAAGAGA